TAGGACAAAGACAATAAAAAGTTGCTTTGCTAGCAGCATGAAGGACGCTGTGTTGAGACGCCATCACTTTGCATCTCATTGTTGATAAATGGTCGGTTGCCGAGGGTCCCGCTGGGGCCTGTCGACAGGAATAGGTGGAGAAGCCACTGCGGCCAGCGGACACCGAGGCTATAAATACCGAAAGTCCGTGAGCACCCCTGGAGCCTCGGTTTGGGCGAGGGGACTCTTCACTGACCCCAAACTCTCCGAAGACCCTTGGGGCCTTCCCTCCAGTCTCCGTGTGGCATTCCTCCCGGACAGTGGTGACAAACCACACGGCGCCTGGTGGAAGACATCAACCGCCTACCCACACTGGTGTCTTCGTCCCCTAGCAACGTGCTCTACCCACGGGAGGACTGGCTTTTGGGCTGGCAGCTGGGAATTGGCTGTTTGGTGGGTTGCCAACTCCCCTGGGTGCTTCCTCGTTCGAAAAGGTGACCCTCAGATTAAGTCAGGACTTGACTTCTTCACCTCCCCTAGCCTGGAACAGCAGTGCGATTCGTCTGTCGTTCGTCTAGAGTGTCATGTCTTTATTTCTTTATTAAGAGGTATTATCCTGCCTGCTATCGGCTTGCAAAATTCCCACAGCGAACTCGTGCTAAATAAACCACTGGAAAAGACAGACTCAGTTTCTGAGCACAATTTCTGTTGCCCTCCAAAACGAAAACGAAATGAAACAGGGTTCTTAATTACCAGGCAACACCCAGGACCCTCGAGGGCCTGGGAGTCCCCTTAACTTTGGAGGCTTAAGATCCCCTTGGGAATCCAACAAAATTGCGGACTCTTTGCCCCAAAGAAAACACACATATCCTAAAATCTTGTGCACGTGCCAGGGTTCCTCAGACGTTTATATATGTTAACTCTATACTTATTAGTGACCCCAAACCTGCCCCTTCGCCTGGGCTTCTCCCCTGAAATGCAGTTGCGTCTACATCTGCGCTGTCCAAGCCAGCAGCCAGCAGCGACATGGGGCTACTGAGGTTTAAATCTAAGTTAATTAAAACTAGATAAAACGTAGACTTCAGTACCTTCATCATAGCCACATTTCAAGTGTTCAACAGCCATATGTGGTCGGTGGCCATTGTATCTTTGGACAGCACAGATACAGAGCACACCCGTCATCATGGAACATTCTATCGGACGGCCTGGTATATACAAATGGTGGCTGGTCTTTTCTGCTGAGTGTCAGATAAGCCATTCACATCCATGCTGCACTAGTCAGCATGCGACAGTGATGACCCTGAAATCTCCCTGGCTTACAATCAAGCCTATTCCCAGCTCCTGGCCTGCAGGGCAGCGGGGCGGCTGGCTGAGGCTGCAGGTCCCCCTGGGGACTGCTCCCATGCTTCTCATTCAGGCCCAGACTGCAAGAATGCTGACGTGTGGAGCTTGCTCTTTTGGATGTGGCTTCCATTATGCCCGCTCACACTTCATGGGCCAAAGCCAGGTGCAGGGCCAAGCCCCACACAACGATAGGTCATAACGGGTCCTCTGCCTATGGTGACCCAGGGGCAGACAGGAAGGAAGGAAAGGCTGTGAACCAGTAACAGCCTCCCAGAGGCCAGGACTACCCCCAGATCGGCTCCTCCTCAGCCACTTCCTGCCTTAGTAGCTGGGGGCCTCCCCTTGGCCACTCCAGTTGCAGTCAGGGTGCACAGGCCATGCCCTAGCTAACCCACTTCATCGTCTGCCAGGAACACACGGAGGCAACAGTGATGAGACCCCAGGCAGGCAGCAGAGGGGTGCAGTGACATGGAGTTCCTGGTGTCACTGGGGGGCTGGAGGGGGATCAGCATGTAGTGCCAGCAGGGCCGCAGGCTTCTGCCCACCCCAATGCAGTGCCAGCTCCGGGCCTGGCTCTCCAGCCCTCCCCCCAATGTGATGAATTATGTGGTCGGTGGCCAATTTCTTTTTAAAACCCCCTTTAAAAAGAAACTTATTCCCTACAGCCAGGAGGCGGGAAGTCTGAGATCCAGGATCCCCGGGGCTGGTTTCCTCTCAGGCCTCTCTCATTGGTGCGGGGGCGGCATCTTCCCCACGCCTTCCCACTGTCTCTTCCCTGAGTCTGTGTCCTAGTCTCTTCTGCTACGAACGGGTCAGATGGAAACGCCGGACAGCCTTCTAACCAAATCACCTCTGCAAAGGCCCACCTCCACTGCAGCCACGTTTGAGGTGCTGGGGGTCAGGGCTTCACCGTATGAATTTGGAGGCGGCACAGTTCAGCCCATCCCAGTAGCGGTGGTCAGTTTCTGTCACCTGCCACCCAGGCCCCAAGTGAGACCCCGTCATTTCTCACCAACAAAACTCCTTTAACCGCCATCTCCCTCAGGTCTCGTTCAGCTCAAATCCAAGCAGGACCCTAATGACGCCCCACCCCCCCAAGATTCTCGTCCCTGGTTGTTCAATCAAACACTAAGCTAAGGACTGCGCTAAGCGCTGCGGGAAGAGACTTTTCCGCTGTAATTAAGGTGGCGGATCACCTTAAAGCAGGAAGATTATCCTGGATCATCCAGGTGGGCCCAGCCTAGGAACTGGAGCCCTTAAAAGGGCCGAGACTCCCGCGCCGCCCCTCCCGAGGCCGGGGACGGTCGGGGGAGCAGAGACCATTCCCCCGCCTACGAAGGCGGCGGAGGAGGGGTCTTCACCGAGGAAAGACTCGAAAGACAGTGGGGGTCTCTCAGGGAAGGTGCGGGGACGGAGGGGCGCGTGCACTCCTCCGAGCTCCGCTGACCCAGCCCGAAGCGACCGCGTGGAGGGGCCCCGCGTCTGCCGCCTTCCACTCCCGCCCGCGGTCCGCACGCTCG